GTCGACAGCACCACACAGCTTGGTGTCATCTAGTATATGTCAAACATATATATGTATAATGATAATAATATATACAGACAAGTGATGCACAGTGTAATTGCTCACCACTCAGTGACCAAGGCCCGTCCCATCCCAGACTAATGATCCCAAAACAGATAAATCCTGACATTGCAATCTCAGATGAGTGAGAGGCCCGAAAAGAGAGAGAGAGTGAGCACTGCGACAGTCGCAGACCGAGAGCCCCCAAAAGTGCAAAAGCCTTTCTTTCTGGTCATCCCTCATCTTTATACTGGGCATGACGTTGCATGATATGGAATACTTCATTGGCCAGTTTAGTGCTCAACCCTAAGTCTAAGTTCAAATCATAAGGGGAGATGTAGACCTGTTGTCCTGGCTATGCTCCCCCCCAGCCTGTTGTGCTCCTGCCCACTGGCAAGAACATGGCAAGCTGAAAAGTCCTTGAGGACTCAGTGCCAACTATAAACAGCAGTGTGCCATCAACATTCTTCTCATAACAAATCCCAGACTAAAACAAAAACACAGAGCTCTTCTAGCTGCTAAAAAGAAAAACTAACTCTGTCCCAGCTGAACACTTACTATACATATACAGGACACTTGCTATAAATTTTCTTTGTACGTTGGCAAGCTAAAAAGCAAAATTTTCTGTGTTTGCTCCAACAGATGATTTCTGTATTCTTTACGTTCTTACCCTATTTTTACAAGGGTGTGTAGTGATAGGACAAGGGGCAACAGATTTAAACGGAAAGAGGGCAGATTTAGGTTAGATATAAGGAAGAAATTCTTTACATTGAGGGTGGTGAGGTACTGGAACAGGTTGCCCAGAGAAGTTGTGGATGCCCTATCCCTGGAGGTGTTCAAGGCCAGGTTGGATGAGGCTTTGGGCAACCTGGTGTAGTGGAGGATTTCCCTGCCCATGGCAGGGGGGTTGGAACTAGATGATCTTTGAGGTCCCTTCCAACCCTAACCATTCTATGATTCTATTGGAGCCATTGAGCCCTAGGCTGGGTGAGTAGATGGTGCAGTGCATCTTTTCTTCTTTGGTAACACAGACTCCTTTTTTTGGTCTTTTAGAAGTTAGGTATTTCTTTTTGCCTTGCCATTTTTCTTAGTAACCGTTTCAATGCAGATCTATGCTAGAGAATAGAGACCATGCAGAGCAATTTTGTCACCCCAGTTTAATGGCCAAAATAAACAGTTGCCTTGACTGAGGTGGGATTTATAACACTGAGTTGTTTTAAGAGGGATAGCATAAGATTTTTAGCAAGACCTCGTTAAGAGAAACTGTTCAAAGCTAACACCTGTCTGCCCCAAACCCTTCTAATACCAGATGGTAGTTTGGTGTTTTTTTTCTGTGTTCATGGATTTTAAGTCATCTGGTGACACTTCCAAGATCGACAAAGCTTGCTTGTGCTTTTCTTTTGTTCCTTGCTGCCTGCTGAGAGATTGTGGGGGAAATATCACAATTCTGGCACAAACTGTGTTTATTTTTTGTAGGTTACAATCATCATATACTTGTCTATTTTGGGCTTGCTTCTTCTGTACATGGTGTACCTTACACTGGTGGAACCTATACTGAAGAGACGCCTCTTTGGACATTCACAGCTCATACAAAGTGATGAAGACATTGGGGTGAGTTCACCAGAGTGCTTGTGTATGTGGATTAATGTGAAGATTGGGATGGTTAGTTATTAAATAGCTGTTTGAGATGAGCAGCTTTTTTTCCAGGCAGTGTAAATACTTCTCCTGAAGGGAGAGAAAAAGAAAGCGGTGTGATGACTTCTGTGAAGCCACTTTTTCATTTTTCAGTGAGCTAGAAAGTAGTAAGATAAGGACTTCTTCAGTTATACCAGCTCTAGAAGCAGATTATTTTCTCAGAGAAGAAACAGTAGAAATGGAGGTGAGCGTATGTAGGAGGTACAACTTTTTAAGTGTTAATTATCCGTGCAGTCTTGCTAGTGATCACATTTACACAAATTGCTTACTGCTTAGATTTCTCTCTACAAAAAGAAAGTAGAGGGATTGCATTTTCTATTGCTCCAGTTTGAATTTGTTGATGCTAAAAATTCAAGAAGAAATAATTATAATGAAGTAAATAGTGATTGATACTGAAATAATTTCTTAGTATTACAGCTAGAAACCAGAATGTGACAATAGATTCCAACAGAACAGCCTTTTTTTGGGAGGAAAAGGGGAGTAGTCCATTAGTGACTCTGTTTCCTGTCATTACTGGCCTTCCCAATCTCCAACACAGTGTTTCTGACTTTTAATAAAAATGGATCAAAATTGTCTTTAGTACCCTTACAAGAAGGAAATAGAAGACCTTATGAAGCCTTGTATTAGAAAGAGTAAGACACTTCGGTACCTGGTCAGTGTGGGTAAGGAATACTGGTTGGTGGGAGTAGGTCATCAGTGTATTCAAGGAGAGCTTAGAATAGTATAAAAATACAGGCTATGGCTCTGCATCTGACAAATCTGTGTGCATCTGAACCTGATGAATCTGCATGCTTGGGAGAAGTACCACTATGAAGTACTGTGAGGAAAGTTTTCTAAAATGGCAGCTGGATTGGTGGTAAAGTGTCAGTGTTGAACCACACAAACTGATAAAACAATTCTGAAGTATCAGCATCAATATATTTTCTATATTGAGCCCTCAGGCAGCACTGCTTTTATTGATAAACTATGCCTCAGGTGTGGTGTAACCTTAGAAAGAATTTCTGAAGTGAAACCCAGAGTATGAAACAGGAAGATTACTGTCTGCTTAACCTAAGCCTTTCAGCAGACACGAGCGTTTTATTGCTATTGAAGTAATGGGAGCTAGTCAAAAAGACTTACAACATTTATTAGGGTCTTACAATAGAATCTTCAAATAAATAGGAAGTTAATAGAAGGAGATAAATAAGTTTGTTCTTGGTGAAACAAAATTATGATGGCAACACTTTTTAAAATCTGTTTAAAAGCCCTGTAGTTCTAACTGCCTGTCTCTTCAGTGGCTTCATAGATGTGAAGGTATCAGAGCTGGTAAAAGCTATGCTCTGTTATGCTGTGTATCTGTGGATTTTCATGTGAGTTGCACTCAGCTTCTCCAGGTTGTTTTTGGTTGTGGAGTGACAACTGTCATTGCTGGTAAACCGAGGAAAAGCATATTTAATTCTGCCATTTTTTTCATCAGTAGTGTCCACATCAGCTATCTTGACTTAAAAAGGTGTTTCTGTTCTGCAGGGGGGGATATTAAGTATTCAGAATCAAACATTTTCCTAGGTAATAGCTTTTATCAGCTGTGCCTTCTTTGTTTGCCTTGATTTGATGCCAAAATGTGGGATTGTGACACGAGTTTGAGCTAACGCTGTCTGGAGTGAAGGTTCTTTGGACAGAGGTGTACTATTGCTATTATGTCCCACTGCTTCTGCACTTACTGTGTGTTACATAGAGAGGTACTCCGAATGTCTTTGTAGTGATATCTTAAGATTTGTCTAGTCACTTCTAGGAGGATATTTGGGATTGTTTTTTTTTTTCTGGAAAGGAGGGATTTGAATGACTCTTTTTCCGTCTTCATTCTTATAGCAAATTGCTACTTGAATTAAATGAACTTATGCTGTATGTTATATACCTCAGACAAAATATTTTTATTTTATACCTTGCATAAATTATATTAATACCTCTCAATTTGGGTTACAGTCTTCTGATTGTACATGGAAGAAGTAAAATAAGTCCCTTGGCAGAGCTCAGGTTAACTGCAGAATAAATTTACCTTAAATTCTGGTTCCATCTTAACCATTTTCATGTTTCGCTGTATCTGCTACTGTGACCACTACCTGTGCTTGTGGAGTCAGGAGTGCTTATATCTGCAGTAGTGCTTGGAACTAAAAGCACTTCAGGTCCTTGCTTAGTTCAGGTAGCTCCTTTCCTGTTTATGCTCCTTCTGTGACAGTGAATGTGAAATACTTCAAGGTCCCTCACGACCTAGCCCCAGCCTTGCCTTCCTTCTTGCAAGTTCTTGAGTTATTGATCTTTGTCACACTTTGGAAATACCATGTGCATCAATTTTGTTGATGAATTTCAAGCCAGTATGTTTGCTTTTTCTTGTTACTTGTTGATGGCAGTGGCAACTGATGAATGTAAGCCACTTCCACAGACCTCTTTCCTCTGAAATTCTTTTTCCCCCCTTTGTTGTCTACATAGAAATCAACAGTAGCTAGCCTTTGAGCTGAGATTGTTGTTTATCAGGAAAGAAAGCCAGTACCATCTAGCTCGTCCTGCAGTCTCCCTTCCACCATCTATTTTATGGTATAAATGTGTTGCTATTGTGATTTTGTTGTGAATTAAGTGATTTGTCATCTGTTAACTGCAAATTGTAGGTGTATCCAACTGCATAAATTTTTATGGTGAGATTATAGCTCTTTGGGTCAGGGTCAGGTCTCTTGGTCTTTATGAGCATATTTTTTAGCCCAGTGAGGCTCATGTGTGGCTTTGGGACTTGTAAGCATCACTTCAATGGGTATCACTAATGATAATCTCTGTACTACTAAGAATTAGCATTTAAGCTGCTCTACACAGTCATGTCGCAAATAAAGTATCCATTAACGTAAATGTCTTCAGAAGTGTTCTGAGAAAAAAAAAAGGAATGTGAAGTTAGACATACAAAACCAGTTATTTAATACAGCACATAATTACATTATTTTTCATTATGCATTGTATATATGATGCTTTCTGACATAGCTTTAGCAACATGACTTTGTCTGAAACAGTTTGATAGCCAAGTAAGAAGTTCAGTTCCAACTCTTACTGTTTATAACTCAATTATGTTTACTGGAAGAAAGTAAAGCTTTGCAGGAACTCTTAGAAAACAGAGTAAATATTAAACAAGCACTCAGTTATTGTTGAGCTCTGTCACGTAAACAGCTGTATTGACACTGTGCTTTTAGACAGCTCGGTACAATAGGTTTAGTTTAGTAAACATCAGAGTGTGTTGCTTTTATATAGAAGCTGTGTGTGAACATCTGAACTGCCAGATGATAAGTGACCAAAAGCTGGCAGAGAACTGACTCTCTAACTCTGTTTTAAAGTGAAGTGCATTCACGACAGTAACAGGGGGCTCCCAGGGCCTGGGTCTGTTCTAGGCTTCTGTCCCACCAGAAATGGAGGCCAGGCTGTGGTTCTGAACTTGCAAGCCTTGCAGCCCACCGTGATGTCTCTGGGCAGCAAATAATTGTTTGACACTACAGTGAAGTTTGGTGTATTTGGGAAACCTGTGGAAGTTACTTTGAACGAGGAATTGAAGTACAGTTCTAACTATTCAAAAATCTGTTTAGTCATTATTACTGACCAGCTCATCGAAACAGCTCATTTACCTTAAAAAAACAAAACAAAGACCACAAAAAATAACCCAAAAAACAAGCAAACAAAAAAAACCCCACATCCTTTGGACTGTAATGACAAAAAAGACTAATGTGCTTGCTCAGTGGAACTGTTGAGATCTAACTAATGATTTTTGCCATTCCAGGATCACCAGCCTTTTGCAAATGCTCATGATGTGCTGGCTCGTTCTCGGAGCCGCGCCAACGTATTGAACAAAGTGGAGTATGCCCAGCAGCGTTGGAAGTTACAGGTCCAAGAGCAACGCAAATCCGTCTTTGACCGTCATGTTGTGCTGAGTTAATTGTGTCTCAGTAAAATAACTCCAGGAAAGTAAAGTGGACTAATTGAAAGAGCTGACCTACGTCTTCCTGATCCTGCCAATTCAGAAGGGTTTTCTTGAATGGTTCGTTATTGATTTAAACAAAAAATAAATTTTGAGTTTTGAAGAAATGTACTGGAGTGGAAGCAATTCAGAAAGATTAGTTAACCAAAAGCTAAAATCTTTACATTTTCAAATGGCTTTTACTAACAAAACTGAAAAGAAAACAAACCCTAAGATATCTGGAGTTGCCACTGTGGTACTTTATTTACAGTTGTGACTTTATGGTGATTTTTAACTATATATTTCTCTCTACTATTTATGTGGTTAAAAAGTACCTGGGAACACAGTAATTACATACAACTCACTAATCACTTTATGTAAAGACCTTTTGTAAATATACCTGAATTTTCTGCTGACTTATCCTAGGTACTGGAAATCTAAATCTTGCAGTGTAGTTTTCATATGGGAGAATGAAATCCTGATTGGCTGTATTCATCATTTGGTTTCTTGCACTTGTACTTTCAAGATGCTTGCATGTCAAGTGACGTTTGCAGATTTAAGGCAAAACTTAAATGGACACTGACTCCTTGAGCTGCATACTTAAAGTACTGTGATGTAGATAAACTCAAATGCAGTGCATATCAAGACAGTGTTGACATTTTGTTGTGTTTTGCTTTAAAAGCTCAATATATTGTATGTGTATGATATCTCTTAAAAAAAAAAATCTTTTCCCTTTCTTTTCATGGGTAAAGTCTCAGGAGTTAGTATATGATGAAATATTTATTATAAAAATCTTTCTGCATTTGTCTGGATTGATGGTGTAAAGCACGTATTTTCTCTAGCACTTGTCATCTTGGGAGTTAGGTGTATTTTTTTATCTGTGATTCTGTACTCATCTCCTTAAGAGGTATACAGTTGCTAGATGACTAACTTTCATATATCCACTTTGAAATGTAACAATTAAAGATAAAACTGATTTTTGAAAAATGGATGTGCATTATCTGTATGTCATCATTTTTCTCCCTTATTACTGTGCAAGTTCCATCTATAAAAGCACTTCTCTAAAAATGCTTCACAGTAGAAATATGCACTTGTTCAGTGCTTAGACAAAGGAAAGGGGCTCACCAAATTGTGAATTGAAAAAAGTTTCTAATCTCTGACTCAGCTCTTCTGTAGATACAAAGCTTCCTTCTCTTGACAGTCCTGTAATCTTCCAAAAACTAAGTTAATCTGGAGGGAATTATAATGGGTGGCTAATTGGTGGAGGCACAGGATTCTTTCTTTAAATTAAAAAAAAAAAAAAAGCACAAGGTGGATTGACAGGACAGAAAAATAATCCAGACTTGGGTTCAGTTACTGTGTTCAACATCCCACCCTGCTGATGAGTCAATAACTGTTTATGACAGTGATGGACCTAGGTTCCCCTAAAGAAAATAATGTAGCTTGTTTGTTGAATACATGCCTGTCTGCCAGTTCTAGTAGATGTTCTACCTCTTGGCTGCATTTCTGATGAAGCCCGAAGCTGGCGTGGGATGGAGGATGCGGAATACAGCATTGTTGCAGCCCCACACAAGGGCAGCAGAAGCAGAATGCTTGCTTTGAGGACTGACAGTCCCAAGAAGACAAGACTAGATGTATGTAGCTCTCTTAGCAGTAGATCAAGTGCTTCTGATCTTACAGCGTCTTCTGAAATTCTAAGTTAAAATGGTTTGGTTTTGAATTTTTGATGTGGCTTTGCTTTGATCAACAAAACGGCCAAATGGTGAGATAGCCTAAAGTGTCAAGGTAATCCTGTAAAATGTGGCAGTTTTGAAGTTAGATGTCCTGTTTATTTGCACCTCTACAGTTGGACAGCTATATACTGATATATGTAGCATCTGTATACCTATATATATTTAATTATGCAGACTGATTGCTCCATACTGTGTTTCTAAGTTTAAGCAAAACTTTAAAACATTTGTCTTGTTTCTGATTGCTCAGTGTTTTCCAATCTTGTCTTGCCTACCTCCATAAATGCTTTATTAGAAACCTTTTATATGGTGTTACACTGCTTAACACTAAGGGGATTTCCCAAAATTACAGGTATAGTGAAGATTAAATTTGAGGTTATTAAGCTAACTAATGTGTGTCCTCACCTTTAATCTGGAAACAAATCCATCACAAGTTTCTTCTAAATAAATACTGATTTTCTGTGTTTAAAATGAAGCTATAAAAAATAATTTTTTTATGCCCTGATGGTAAATATCTGACTAAATTCTAGCTGAATCTGATTTTTATATTTGTCCATTAAAGTACGAAATGCCAATACGTTAAAATAGCGCTTTAGTAAACTGTAATAGAATAAATACAAGAAGTCAACAACGTACCTTCCTGGTTACTTTTTCAAGTAATCTAGTTTGTGTTCAATACAGTTTTAAAATTTCTAGCAAGTTTTGTTGCCAACATAGCTGTGGTGTGGGTGGAAAAACCAAACCAGAAATGAGCAGATCTAACTGTAAGCTACTTTGCATGTTGTCAATTGACTATAAATTGCAGCAGTCCTTGACTCAGCGTAACAAGCTACATAATTCAGGTAAGAGACTTGTGTGCTGCTGTATGTGGCAACAGATGTTCACTGAATATCAGGGTTTTTTTACATCACTTCTACCAGCTATTCAGTAACAGTGCTTCTGTAGCTTTTTAATGAATCATGTTTAATATGATCTCTTATTAAATAAAACTTAAGAAAAATGGAACATTAACTTCTTTTTTTAATATCATTCAGATATTTTCAGGTATTACTCATCAGTCTTAAAATAGCACGTCTTGTTTCCTTGGATTTTACTTTCATCTGAAGATTGGTGAGTTTCTAGTCTAAAAGGAAAACAATCCTAAAACTTGCACTTTGTGCAGGTAGTAAGGCAGCAGATAACTTTTATGTAACGCTGTTATGCTGCAGAAGTGTCAGTACTAAGCAACAAATACTGCAAGTATCTCTTCTTGAGGGGTTGAGTTTGCTTTGGTTTCTTCTCTATAGTGATGTTTTTAAAGGTTTATTGCTATGTAACTGACTTTTTTCCTCATATAGTGTTTTTAAATTGTTAGCAATAGGAAGTTTTTAGACAATAGCCCAACCTGTGTAAGTAGAAAAGGCAAAGATGGGGCTGTCTACTACTGTCATTTTATAACAAGTGTATATATTCATCTCTGATCTGCTGCATGTATATTAATGTAAAATGGATGTGTGTTCGTGCTCTCGGTCTACCTACAGAAGTACCTGTTTAAGATGCGTGTGACTTTCTCTCTTGTCTAAGAGCATGCTATAAATGAATTCTTAACTCAGGGTTTCTGTTGTGAGATCTGTGTGCCTTAGAAAAAGAGACAACGCTGAATACAGAGACATTTTGATAGGATATGTTGTGAGGATAGGTCTATGCCAAGTGAAAATTCTCTCTGTATTAAATGCGGAAGGGATGAAGTCATTAGAAGACATTAAAATATCCCCATATCCTTGTGAAGGATTAAGGGGATCCCATTTATGTTGAGGAACTGTGGCCAGAACATTCGAAGCTTTGCAAGGTTTTTTTTTGAGTATGGAATCTAGATGTTTCTAGTAACCTAGTTGAATGTTCAGGTGTGTTTTCCATTTTAGAGGAATATAATATAATATTTAGAGGAATATAATATAACCTAAGTGTGTTAGACAGCAATATATAGATGTGGAAGTGGATGGTCAGAGTAAGAGCATTTTTGGATACATTCTGTGTAGGCAAACATTGCTTGCAATCCATGAGGATGGATCACAGTAATTCTTTAAAAATTAACTAGTTGTTTAAAATTTATTTTTAAGTAGCTATTAGGTAACAGTCATTAACAGTTGTGCTGATGTTTAGCTGTTTGAATAATGATAATGGGAAGGCACTGTAATGTAGCTTCCTATAAAACACTGCAAGATTAGCTTTGTAATAAATATATAAGGGTGATTTGAGTAGTTACGCCTGCCATAATGCTGCTGTGAAGAGAAGGTATGTGGTTTTAATAGGCCAGTCCAAGTCACAGGTTTCTAGCAGTGCCCCGACAACTGTGTGCAGTCCCTTTTAGTAAAATAATTTATAATTGGAACAATATTATTAGGACATGCATTTTTTATCCTTTAATAAATAGATTATTTCATAATCCTCTATCAGTAGGATTGAATTTAGTATTTCGTATCTGTTTAAACTGCAGGTGAGTGCAGAAGGAGCATGAGATGTTAGGTTTAGCAGAAATTCATCCTCTGAACTTTTTGTAAACACTTTTTATGTAGAATGGATGTAATACCTGACAGACGTAAAGTTGAGATCCATTCCCTGCACAAGTTTTCCATCTAATTAAGATAGTATAGTGAATGAGACCTCAAATAGAGATAGAGAAAATAATTTCTCTTTGAAGGCTTTTTGGTATGGATAGGGAGTCTGTTACTGGAATTGTAGATAGAATTTTTTTCAGGGAGGAGAAGAGAATGCCTCAGATGTTGGCCTGCTTTGTTTCTTGTCTGTAAAGATGTAAGTTTTGGTGGATTTGGAGCAAGCTAGACTTATGTGGAGTATATAAAGGTATATTATCTTCATTTCTAAAGCTGAGGTGAGACTGTGTGCTTTTTCCTTTAGGAAGCTTTATTGGCTCTATTTTCTTAAAATCTGATGTGAATTATTTTAATCAGTGTTGCTGGCTTGCACTTTCTTGTATTTTCAAATAGGACGTTGTCTGCTCTGTGTAACAATCTTCCAACACCATTCTGAAATGTCACAAATGCATAAAAAGTATCTTCTGGAAAATGCCAGTAATGCCAAGTGTTGGTAAGTCTAGGTGAGTTTTTTTCTACTGTTCAGTATGAGTTGTTTAAACTGTTACATAATTATGCATTTCCAGGTTAAATGCAGAACCTGATGGATGGCAAAAGCTACCGTAACCTCATGGACAAGTTGTCCACCTGTACTGAGGCTCAGTGCATACAGCTGTCAAGGCCCTTCTGTGCTGAGCCAGTGCTCACGTTTCACGTGTACCCAGAAACACCAAACCAGGTCACTTGCTCTGAAGATTTGTCGTTCCTTCCTTTCATGTCTGAGCATCTCATC